AACCCAGGTCCTCATGCATTCAAGGCAAGCGTTCTACCACTGAGCCACCTTCCCAGCCTAATGTTATTATCTTAATTCAAATGTAATGTCTGCCTTATTAATTCAGTCTCAGACTAGCTCCTGACCCTCATCATAACCAGAATTCTTTGGTTTGTTTTTCTGTTTAGCAGCACTGGTTTTTAAACCAGAACCTTGCCCATGCTAGGCAAGCACTGTGGACTGACCTAGCCATTGCATGCAGTAGATCCATGAAATACTTTAGTGCTTGCCTTGCATGCATGAAGCCTTGGATTCGATTCCTCAGTACCATATAAACAGAAAAAGCTAGAAGTGGCTCTGTGGCTCAAGTTGTAAAGTGCTAGTGTTGAGCAAAAGAAGCTTAGGGACAGTGCCCAGGCCTTGTGTTCATGCCCCAGGACTGGCAAAATAAAAAAGGCTTTTTTTTTTTTTTAAGTTGTGGCTCAAGTGGTAGAGCACTAGCCTTGAGCTAAAAAGTTTGAGGACAAGCCCTGAGTTGAACCGCCAGGATGGACACAAAAAAATCTTTTGAAGAGCCTATTATCAACTTTGAAAAACAAAAACATTACTTATATGTACCTCATCTAGTTTTGGTAAGGAGCCAATATTAAAAGTATCTGATTATGCCGGGCGTGGCTCATTTCTGTAATCCTAGCTACTCAGGAGGGTGAGATTTGAGGATTGCAGTTCAAAGCCATCCCAAGCAGGAAAGGCTATGAGACTCTTATCTCCAATAAACCACTCAGAAAACTGGAAGTGGTGCTGTGTCCCCAGTGGTAGAGCGCTAGCCTTGAGCTGAAAAGCTCAGAGAGGGACAGCGCCCAGGCCCAGAGTTCAAGCTCCAGGACTGACCCCACCCCCCAAAAAAAATCTGTTAAATTGTTATTGTTTTTATTTTATAGCTAGACAATGAGGTGTTCAAAACCTATCAGAAGTTAATGATAATTTAACAGCCAGGATTACAGGCATCAGTCACTGACAACTCAACTTTCTTGATCCTTTCCAGAAGATTCCTAAGTGTTGCCCATTGTAATGTTACAAGACGAGGTATCTTTTCAGAGGTCAAGAGTAGGAATGGGACCAGCTAAATGAAATGACATAAGTATAAAAGGTGATCTTTCTGTAGCATCTCAATCTATCCCAGCTGCTAGAACAGATACTATAGACCAGGTGACTCAAAAACAACGGAAATCCATTTCACACAATTCTGGCACCTAGAAAAATCATGATCAAGATGTTACGAGTTTTGATATCTGGTAAGAGCTGCTTCTTGGTTCAGACAGTTATCTTTTATGTGGGGGTAAGGGGGACAGGGATAGGTGTAAGCCACAACATTAACTAAATTGATTATTAAAATATCAGATTATTTTCCTATTAATCTATATTTTTCATCATGTCAATTTTTTTTTTTTTGGGTCCGGTCGTGGGGCCTGAACTCTGGGTCTGGGCGCTGTCCCTCAGCTCTTCAGCTCAAGGTTAGCGCTCTACCACTTGAGCCACAGCACCACTTCCGGCTTTTTTCTTTTTGCTTATGTGGTGCTGAGGAATCGAACCCAGGGCCTCATGCATGCAAGGCAAACGCTCTACCACTGAGCCACCTTCCCAGCCTCATCATCATGTTAATTTTTAAGCAAGATATGTCAAACTGCCTGGTGGTTTTGCTACTTTTCATGTAGGTTGTGACAATACTATTCACATGCATGATGAGAAATTCATGTGATATCAATGAAATGGCATTTTGCCATTTTGATTTTATCTTGTTTTCCAAACATAGCTAGGGGTAGTGGCATAAACTTGCACCTCTAGCACTTGAGAGATGGGGGTCTCTCTTTCTCTCTCAAGTTCAAGGCCAGTCTGGACTACACAGTGAGACCCTGTCTCAGAAACAATTTAAAGTAAAGTAAGTGTTCATTATGACCCCACTTAATATAATAGTATCCATTGTTACATACTCAAGCTAGTCAGGAATATACAATGAGACTTTATGTAGTCACAAGTTAAAGGATCACAAGTTCAAAGGACTACTGAGACCCTGTCTCTAAAACAATTCAAAGGGGAAAAAAAAGTGTTCATTTTATCCTGCTTTATATGAAAGTATCCAGTTTTGTTGAGGGGAACTGTTGACTTGTCATCCCAGTGCTAGGAAAATTTAAGGTGTAAGCCTACATTTTAGAAACATGAGAAAATATTTTTAAATTAAGTAAACCTTGGATAGCATTTTAAATGACAGCAAAAGATACAGACTGTTTGTACTCTTATATTTAAATTGGTTACAACTTGTTTTATGTCTGTGTGCTGATTCTAAAGTTTGAACTCAAGGCTTGGGCACTATCCTTGAGCTTCTTTTGCTTAAGGTTAGTGCCACAGCTCCACTTTGGCCTTTTGGTGGTTAATTGAAGATAAGAGTCTCATGGACTTTCCTGTGTGGGCTGGCTTTGAACCAGGATCTTCAGATCGCAGTCTCCTGAGTAGCTAGGATTTTAGGCACAAGCTACCTACCAGTGCTTGGCTAAATCTTTTAAAACTTTTATACTCCAAAGACGAACTTAAATGAGATAATTT